GAGGAGGGAGGAGGGAGGATCCTACACCTCCCGCACGAACGCGCACAGCAGCGACGTGCACGAGGTCGAGTGCTCTCCGAGCAGGCGCCTCGAGTGGCCGCCAGAGTGGTGGCACGGCTGGTAGGTCAGGTACAGCAGCAGCCGGTGCCGGTGCCGCCGCCCGCCGCCGCCGCCATCGCCGCCGCTGTCGCCGCCATCGCCGCCGATCGTCCCCGGCGTCGCCGCCGAGGCCAGCGCGGCAATGGCGCTCCGCAGGTCCTCGTCTTGGAGGAGAAACTGCTCGGCGTGTACCTGGGGGTGTTGGGGGCGTGTCCCGGCCGCGTCCCTGGCCGCGTCCCTGGCCAGGGAGGGGGGAGACGGCGGAGATGAGAGGAGAGGCGGGGAGGAGGAGAGAGGAGGCAGGAGGAGAGCACGTTGGACTCGGAGGAGCCCCTCCAGCAGTTGGAGTAGCGAGCGATGTACAGGTCGCTCCAGCGCGCGTCGGCAGCTGCGGGAGCAGAAGCATCCGCGGAGGAGGCGGCGGCGGCGGTGCAAGCGGCCGTTTGGCGGGCGGCGCCCGACAAGGACAGGGTGGCAGTGCTGGCCGCCAGGCCGTGCACAGCACTGGTGTCGGTGGCAGAAGGTGCAGCGACGGCTTGGTCCTGGCCAGACCGTCTCGGCTGCGTCTGCAGCCGGGCCACGCAGATGACAGTCTTGCGAGGGCAAGGCGGCCCACCCGCGGCGACGCTCAGACAGCGCTCCGGAATGTCTCCCTCGGGCGTCGGCTCGATGTGGTAGAAGGACGAGCAGAACTGCGCTGTCGTGCCGAGCAGGCTCCGGCCGCTCTCTGGAACCACGGTGTGCCCATCCGCGGAAGGGTATATCGACATTTGAGCACCCGCCCTGCCACACGCGCAGGCGGAGAGCCACCCGGGCGGATTGCCAGCTGCCACGCGAAGCGCAGGACGACTCTTTGACGCCGCCGCCGCGCGACGATTCCGCCGGTGAGGTGGGACGTAGGCGGACGTCGCCTCGGCGCCGTCGAGCACAACAGACACCATATACGTGTTATAGTGGTTCAAAAGTCGCGACACGAGCTGGCGCTGGCTGCCTCAAAACTTGGCCGACCCCGCGCCGAATGATTTTCTTTTCGCAAAGAGATCGGACTCTAGACATTGCGGCCTGCGAGTAGAGAGCACGCCTGCTATTCACAGCACAAGCTTTGCCTGGCAGCTTCAGCATGTGCAGCGAAAAGCATATGCCCCCCTGTGAAAAAGTGAGGCGTGGTCTCTACTCGCCAGCTCCTCGACCCTGGCGAGTATAGAGGCCCCCCCCCGCCCACCCACCCAGGGTAGCCTCTCCGAGGACCCATTTGGGTATGCTCTTTCGAGGACTCGCCGGGGCTCTGCTCCAAGAGACCTCGAGAGAGCGTGCGTGCGTGTGCGAATCGCGATTTTCTTTTTTGCACCAAGAGATCGGACTCATCGACCTGCAGTCCACCTTCGGGTATGTCCGTAAAGAGAGAGAGATTTTTAGCAATACCTGTGTTTGTGTTTGCCGTAAAGAGCAAACGACGCACTTGTCGCCAGTCTCAGATTTCGATCTCGTGGAGACGACGCACTTGTCGCCAGTCAGATTTCGATCTCGTCGCCAGACGCCAGACTCCGATTTCTCTTTGTCAGGCCATGTGTGCCGCTCGCTCGTCCGCCCAAGTGACTTGGACGCGTGGTCGAGGCTGGCGCTCACCAGCGATCGTCCCCCCACGCGCCCAGCCACCCTTTTTTCTTTGAGGCTGTCGCTCCGAGAAAGCTCGTCTCGCAGCTGCGAGAAGGTATAATTTCGCCCGCCGAAAAGTCTCCCACTCGCGCCCTCCCCAAACCCAAATGCTCTCTCTTTGTACACAGATCACAAACAAAAGAACAGGCTCGAAATCCCGCGGGTGTGATGAGCTCTGTGTCTTGATCTGCTGACAACAACCTTGCACAATACACGCGAGAGAGAGAGAGAAAGAGAGAGAGAGTAAAATTACACATACGCCTATATCTAGTAATCTAGATAGAGGGCTGGAGCAGGATTGCGAGAGACACAGAGAGACACCTGCACAAAGATCGCAAGGGCGGGGGCCTGTTCCTTTTTACCCATCTCAGTAGAGAAGTGTCCGTTTATTTATGACCAGGCGGGGAGCGCCGCGGGAGGCAGTCGGGGCGGGGGCGACGACTCCGAGCATTTATTTAGGAGAGAGACACAAGGCTAAAGGACGCACGTCCTCCCCGTTCGCGTCGCGGCGGCCGACCGACACATGCACGAGCGCAAGGTGTGCTTCCTAGTCACCGCAGGCCTTTGCCTGCTGCACTCGACGTCCGTGTCTCTGGGCATCATCCCGAGCAGCCACCCGCCAGAGGACGGCATCCTCGGACACGGCTTTGGCGAGAAGCCCAAGAATGTGGACCCTTGGGACGCGGCTCACCGCTGGAAGGCGGTCGCCGAGAACCAGAAGGAGAACTTCCCGATTGTGCTGGCAATCTACTGGGCCACAGTCCTCGTCGGCGAGGCGGCGCCCGTGGAGGCGGTGAAGGGAAGCAAAGCGCCCTACTTCATGGTTGCGTACCTCCTCCTCCGCGTCGTCTACGCCGCATGCTATATCGTCGCCCTGGCGCCGTGGCGCTCGCTGGCGTTCGCAGCCTCCAATTTCGGTGGGATGTACACCGTCTTTGTCATCGGTGTCTACCGCGCCTGCAAAGTCAGCACGCCAGCCCCGGCCGATGACTATGCCATCATGCCACCGACGGTGTGAGAGAGAAGAGAGAGGAGGAGAGAGAGAGAGATGCGTTGGTATCTCTGGCTTTTGCGGGAAGGGGAACGATGGGAGAGTCAGAGCGCGATATCAAACCTGAGAGTCGGCGTGTTGAGTACTGAACGACTTCAGCAGCGCGCTGACCGGGCCACGCGCAGCTCACGCTCACACGCGAGCGGACGCGACGCTCGACGAGACGCGACAGGCGTCGACGGAGCTCGGAGCGATTTTCAAAATGTTTACGAAAATTTACTCATTACTACTACGTGTGCTGTCGGCTTTACTCTAGAAGAGCCCACAAGCCATATGTTCATCGCGTGAGCAAAAAGAGACTTTCGCGGAGGAGCGAGGGCGTGAGATACGCGCACGGCACGCACCATCTCGTTCTCAGAGTGGCGGGTTGGGCCCCGCGCGCGGTTCTCTCTGCGTGTAACGGTGGCGTCGGTGAAGCGCACCATCCCCGTCCGGAAAACGCGCACCTCCTCCGCGTGGACTCATCCCGCCTTCCCCACCAATCGAGTCTGGCCGCCACTCGAGTCTGTAGCTACTAGGGTCTGGTCCAATCGAACTCTGCGATACGCCGCGCCTCGGGCAGCACTGCCCAGTGGGGCGACTGCTGCGCCTTGATCCAGTGAAAGTCGTCGACCCTGCGGGCGGGAGGAGGCGGGGGCGGGTGCCTCGAGAAGGGCAGCAGGGCGGCACCGGCGCGGCTGACAAGGTGCGGGCGAGTCGGGGGGGGGGGGTCTCGGCGGTGTCTCGAGGGGTCTGGGGGTGTCTCGGGTGTGGTTCTCGGGTGTGTGTGTCGGAGGTGTCTCGCAGGTGTCTCGGATCGCACCTGTCCCAAAGGTTTGCGTCGGCGCGCAACCCGGCAGCCTCGAGCGCGCCGGGGAGGGAGGGCGGCAGCGGCGGGTAGGGCGCAAAGGAGAGCGCGTCGCACCCCTCGATGATCGGGTTCGAGGCCGCGTGCAGGTAGAAGGAGCACCTGCGCGCCGAGAGCGGGAGAGCCACATCTCCGGTGCAAAGGCGGCGGCGGCGGCGGCGGCGGGCGGCGGGCGGCGGGCGGCGGCGGCGGACGGTGGCCGCGCGGACGGTGGTGTGGCTGCGGCTGCGGCTGCGGCAGCGGCCGGCGGGCTGCGGGCTACCGGGCCGAGGGAGAGTCAGAGGGGGGGGGGAGGGGGGGGGAGGGGGAGTCGCGGCCGGCGCCCGTTCGAGGTGTGCACGCGCAGCTGGCGGCAGCCGAGCACGAGGGTGCAGTCGGCGCAGTCCGAGACGTAGACAGCTCCGGCGACGGGCGCGGCGAGGACGGTGCACCCGGTGAGGTTGCGCAGCCTGGCGCGAGAGCGGGCGGAGGGTCAGAGGGGTGGCTCCTGGCCGACGCCGCGCGGGGGGGGGGGGCCCTTCCAGGGGAGCGCGGCGCCAGAACGCGCGACTCCAGGAGAGGAGCGTGACGCGGCAGCGCTGCAACTCCTCGAGGGAATACTCGCCGGGACCGTCGCCGCCCGCCGGCCGCACCTGGGAGAGGGGCGGGGGTTCGCGCGGCGCACAAAGGCGCTGTGGCCCTGCCGTGTGGGGTGGTGTGGCGCCAGTCTGGGTGGCTTCGGAGGATAGGATGGAGCAGAGAGGCGAAGTGGCGAGAGAGGGCGACGCTGTTGGCGGCACCACGCACCAACTCGCAGTCGCTCTGCTTGCGGAAGCCGGCCATCCCCTCGAGGCCTGCGCTGAAGGCATCGGTGTGGCGGCGCGTCGTCGCGTCGGTCGTCGCCGCCGCAGGCGCCGCGGCGGCCGCGGCGGCGGCGACATCCGCGCCCGGCGCCCCGCTGACCTTGGCACGGTTGCGGAAGGCGAAGCGCTTCTTCGGGGCGAGTCGCTCTTTGGCAGCGCTCAGGCGGGCGTCCGCCTCCTGCGCCTTGCGCTGCGACGCCTCGAGAAGGGCGGGCGGGAGCCCAGACGCGGCGGCGGCGATGAGCGCGTGCAGAGCCGCCACCGACGCCGCGCACGCCTCCATGCCGTCGCTATCCGCCGCCTCCAGCTGATCGAGCGCGGCTGTGTTCGCTCTGCTGAAGGCCTGCTCAAACTCGGCGACCGAGGCGTCGGCGTCCGCCGCGGCAGCTGCGCGGGCCGCTTTCTTCTCCTCCGCCTCCCTCGCGCGGGCCGCCATGCGCTCGTCCATGACGCGCCGCGCCGCAAGCGCCCGGTCGGCGGCGGCGGAGGCGTCGCCGGACAAGGACAGGGAGGCCATGTCGTGCGCGTCAGGGTTAGGTGGCGGCGTCGCGTCGAGCATCAGCAGCAATAAGCGCAACGGCGCGATCACAAAGCGACAGCAAAAGAAAACACTCGAACTCTGCCACGACAGCGATTGTGGGGACTACATGATCCGTACGTGAAGGGTGGAGGGGCCCGTCCGCAGAGCTAGGCGGCGTGGGCGCCCCCACTGGGGCCGAGGGTAAGAGGACGTCTGCCGCTTGCTTGTCTTGACGTCGTTGACCCAGCCAGTTGGCACGCTCACTCAGGGGATTTGACAGTCGGCACGCGTATTGCGCGCCTGCTTGTTGATGTTATCGGCGTCGCCCGCCACCGCCGCCTTGGAGATCTGCTGCGTGTGGTGGACGACAAAGGAGGAGGCGCTCGCCGACGCCGCCGCCCCATACACACACCGTCCGGTCCGTGTTGGTGCCCACCGCTTCCTTGGCGAACACGTGGAGGAACTGCTTGGTGGGCGGCGCAACGCTACCCAAAGTTTCCACGAGCACCAGCCGCGTTATGGCTTTCTTGACCAGTTCTTGACCCACTTCGCGTCGTAGTACTGCGCCCCCGTCCACTTCCAGGAGCCTGCATCCGTCTTGATCCATCCCTTTCCACGCGCGTGGTCCTTGACCCATCCCTTTCCAGTCGAGTGGTCGAGCGGTCCGTCCACCTGACGGCCACGCTCCTTGCACCCCACGACCCCCGTCGCAACGCCTTGTCTTACTAGCGTGTTTCCAAACCCGTAGAGGTGGCCCACCGTGCACCGACGCCACATTGCCACCATTGTCCCACGAGCCCCTCCCCGCCGTCGTCGACTTGATGAGCGGGTTCCAGCACTTGACCTCGTAGTGCACGTCCCGCATCGTGGCGAAGTCGCCGCCGAGCTCGCAGATGTCAGTCACGGACGTGTCGTTGAGGTGCCGCGTCACCTCGGGTTTTTCCTTGTCCCCGAGGATGATGCTGCCAACCGAGCGTGCCCGGATGGCATTCTGGGCGGCCCTTAGCACCCCGTTGTGCTTGGAGGTGCGGTCGCCCTTGTTGGAGTTGGCGAGGGAGTCGCCCTTGCGCTCTGACTCCCACCGTGACGTGCTTGCCCGCGGCGGCCTGCTCGACGCGCAATCACCGACAAGTAGAGCCCGTGCCTGCGCTGTATCGCCGTCCAGTCGCACAGTCAGGAACATCGCCGACACACCCATCTTCGTGTGGTGGAGTCCATCAGGGCGCATGTCGTTGTCGAGCCATCCAGCGGCGCCGAACTGGGAGATTGAGATCGAGATCAACGAGATGAAGCGAGTCGCCTCCCTGAACTTGATCGCCTCTCCCGCTCTCCGACTGGCGGCGTGTTTTTGTCGATCTCCTCGCACACGCCGCCAGGCACGCGATCCACGAACAAGCACAAAACACAAAACGAACAAGAAGAAAAAGCGCTATACCGAGCGAGCGAGAGAGAGAGAGAGAGAGAGAGAGAGAGAGAGAGGGTTTCTCATTTGTGCGTCTCGGTGATCTCAGCAGGATCTCAGGCCCAGTGAGGTAGTGCATCAGACTATCCCGGATCCTGCTGACCAAGCTCCTCTTGTAGCTCGATCGGTCACACCGCCATCGCCGTCGGGGAGAGGGGGGACGACACTGCTTCGGCAGCGTGCACCTCGATCCTGTACCGTGTTTGTTATGACCCCTTCCAATGAACACACCAGTGAGGGAGGGCGAGACGATCGAGGGGTCCCGTACCATGCGGAATCGACCCTATCCAGTGCTCAAGTGCTCAAGAGAGAGGGAGGGAGGGAGGGAGGGAGGGAGAGAGAGAGAGAGAGAGAGAGAGAGAGAGAGGAGAGAGAGAGACGAGGAACAAATGTGGCAGAAATACGAGAGGGGTAGCCTGTGTTAGTGCCAGTGCGCGCCAGTCCCGTGCCCAGTGTCGTGCAAGGGAGTTTGTTTGTAAAATTCTTTCCCCGGTGTACCTGTGTGACGCGACAAAATTCTTTTTCCCGGAAGAAGATAGACTGGTTCCACAATAGATTTAGCCCTGCGGCCACGTCATGGGGCCATTCGAAGTGCCGCGGCCGGCTAGCTCGTGACGGCCCGAGTCCGAGGGTTGCAGCCGTGAGGCTCGGGCCCTGGGTGCAGTCTGAGGCCCCACGCCTGTCGCTCGGGCGCGGAGGCGAGCCACGAGCGCATTCGGTACCCAGGTCACGCATTTCCACGCCCTCATTCGAGCGACATCGCGGACACAACACTGCCTCACGCCCTTACTCTATTGCGGCTAGGCTACTCAAGCGAGACCTGGTGGCAATCCCGTCTGGCCAGCTCAACACGCCGCTTCGCGCAGGTATCGCGCCAGGCCCTGCCACCGCTCGCCGCCTCGCCGGCACGCTCGCGCTCTCCACACACCACAGATCCAATGCGCGCGAATACTCCGACCGGCGCGCACACCCACTCCGCCGCCGCCGCTCATGCGACCACAACGCCGCGCCGCGACGTGCGCACCGCACGCAACCGCACGCAGCGACGCTTACCCGTCGGCCGTGGCACGCCGGCTCACGCATATCACATTGGTCATATTGGCCGCAGGCGTTTGGCTCTCCCATGCGCCATGGCGCTCGGCGACGGGCACATGCTCGGCGGCGAGCAGGCGGCGAGCTGCATGGAATACGGCGTGGTGTCGGCGTCGACCATGGCGTGCCACGCCGCAAGACACACGCTGTGCGTCGCCTCAAAACCTCGGAGGCTGTCTGACAGCTAGCCCCGCCAGAATCACGCAGAATATTTTTACTAATACACGCAGGGTGAAACACGCACGCAGACACGCAGAGGCACGCCGTGCGGAGTCGAGTCTCGGCTCTTTGTCCGTTCGTACTTAAGTACAAGTACCTTCTCCAAATTATATGTCGTCACCGTAGCCCCCGTGGCCGTGCCAGCACACTGACGTTGTGTCCCGCGGGTGCTGACACCTCTCTGCGAGGAAGCGATACTCTCCCAGCGTGCCAACGTGGCACGCTGAATGCTGGACACATCGAGCCTGCAACGGCACTGCCGCGTACACCGATCGGCACCGCCCTCGAAATAGGAGAGCCTAACCAGGAACGCCAAACGCCTGCGGCACAATGGCCAATGCGTGAGCCAGCGAGACGGCCGACGGGTAAGCGGCGCTGCGTGCGGTGCGCACGTCGCGGCGCGGCGTTGCGGTCGCGAGAGCGGCGGGCGCGGGCGTTGGTCTGCGTGCGTGAGTTCGCGCGGCTGTGTGTCTCTCCGGAGAGCGGAGCGCGAGCGTGCCGGCGAGGCGGCGAGCGGTGGCAGGGCCTGGCGCGATACCTGCGCGAAGCGGCGTGTTGAGCTGGCCAGACGGGATTGCCACCAGGTCTCGCTTGAGTAGCCTAGCCGCAATAGAGTAAGGGCGTGAGGCAGTGTTGTGTCCGCGATGTCGCTCGAATGAGGGCGTGGAAATGCGTGACCTGGGTACCGAATGCGCTCGTGGCTCGCCTCCGCGCCCGAGCGACAGGCGTGGGGCCTCAGACTGCACCCAGGGCCCGAGCCTCACGGCTGCAATCCTCGGACTCGGGCCGTCACGAGCTAGCCGGCCGCGGCACTTCGAATGGCCCCATGACGTGGCCGCAGGGCTAAACCAATGTGGAACCAGTCTATACCCTCGCGGCGCCGGCCGCACGCTACCCCACACGAGCCCTGCTGCGCACGAGCCCTGCCTACACACCTTGTGCACTTCACTTCCCGCGTCCCCGCGCCAACAGGTGAATCCCGAGCGGCTCCCCAGCACACCATGCTCGCCGTCACGCTCGCCGCGCTGCCTTCGCTGCTGCTCTCACCCTCAGTGCCGGCGACGGGCAGCCGCGCACGGGCGGCCGCGGTCCGGATGGCCGGCGACGGCCCCTCCTTTGGCGATCTCGACGGCTCGACCGCCCGAATCGGCATCATCAAGGCGCGCTGGCACCCCGAGATGAGCGACTCGCTCATCGCGGGCGCCAAGGAGGCGCTCGCCGCGTGCGGCGTAAAGGAGGAGAACATCGTCGAGACCGAGGTGCCGGGCTCGTACGAGCTGCCCCTCGCCGCGCGGTACATGGCCCTCTCCGGCTCGGTGGACGCCATCCTGCCGGTTGGCATCCTGATCAAGGGCGACACATACCACTTTGAGGCAATCTCGGACTCGGTCTCGTCGGGGCTGATGTCGGTGGGCATGCAGACGGGCGTGCCGATCCTCTTCGGCGTCCTCACCTGCATGAGCGAGGAGCAGGCCCGCGTGCGATCCATCGGGCCGGGTAACCACGGGCCGGATTGGGGGAGGGCCGCCGTCGAGATGGCGCTGCTGCGCCAGTCGGCGGTCGGCGGGCCAAAGTCCAAGTTCTTCATGGGCTTCGGCGACTCGGGCGAGGACGACGCCAAGCCCATGACGCGGCCGGCCGAGCGCATCGGCTTCTGAGCGGCGCCGGTTCGGCCGGCGGCGCGCGGCGCACATCTCAAGCTCGTCGGCGCCAGCGCAGCCGCCTCGGTGTGCGAGCGCTCTCGCGTGCGCCAGGCTTCACACCGAGGCGGTACATATAATGCGATCGCGCGCGTGCGTCTTCTGGAACGGCGGGAGGTACAGCCAGCTCGTGTTGCGCGCTCTGGCGGTGCGCCGTGCCCCCTGTGACCAGACCGGCTCTCTTGTATATCGATCTCTCCTCTCCGCGCGGCTCTTTGAGCGCCCAAACCGGCGGCGCGTGTGTGGGTGAAAAAGAAGGGCATCAACGCCCAACAATAGATGTCCAAATTTCCAAAATAGATGTGATCATATTGCAATAGAGATATCACGAGTCAGGTCTCGCGCCCGCCCGGCGCCGGCCCGGTCCGCACCGCGAGGCAGAGAGGCGCCTCCCCTCCGATGGCGCCGCGCGAGTACTGGCCGTAGTACACCCTCCGGTCCGCACCCGTGCGGTTGGGCCCGCTGCAGTGCCACAGCCGCGACGAGAAGAGAACGGCGTCGCCCGCCTCGGCGCACACGTCGACGGCGAGCGCCTCGCCCTCCTCCTCGAGCCAGCGCAGAGTCGCCTCCGACGCGGGCGCCTACAGGCGGCGCGGCGCGCACGTGTCGCGCGCGCGCCTGGCGTGACCGCTCCGCCAAGGAAACCCGCGCGTCCGCGGCTGCGGAGGGCGGCTGCGGTGCGTCGGAAGGGAGGAGACGCAAGCACCCTATAGGGTGTGAACACATCAGATCGGAGGCGTGACTCGTCTCGCAGCAGTGGGAAAGAAGCTACGCACGCGGCGGGCTGCCGCCTGCCGTTGCCTCTCTCAAATGTGTTCCGGTGCTCGAGATGTGGGGAGATGTGGGGAGATATGGGCAGATGCGTTCTGTGTTCCGGTGCTCGAGGCTGTCCTCCGCAACTAGCCTCCCGCAACTAGCCTCCGCAACTAGCCTCCGCAACTAGCCTCCGCAACTAGGCGTGCGACCGTTGGCGGGCGAGACCGTGTCGAGGGGGCACCAGAGGGAAACGTACTCCGCCGCCCCGCCGCTGCCGAGCGCGAGGCCCGCCTCGTGTTGCAGCGCCTACAGCGGTGGCAGGAGTGCGCCGAGCGTCACAAGACTGCAGCGCCGCTCAGAGACAAGAGGGCCTCGTGTGCTGCCGTGCCCAGCCCGTGTGCCACGCCTCGATCTCGCCGGTCTCTCGCCTCTCTCTCGGCGGTCTCTCGGCTGTCTCTGCCCCGTCCGTGTGCCACGCGAAGCCGCCTCCGCGCCCCGCCGGCTTGACAACGTAGTGCTCGTTGAAGAGGCAGACGGCAAGCTCGGCCGCGGTGTCGTCTGCGGCGGCGGCGGCGGTCGCGGAGACGGCGGCGGTTTCAGTGGCGGCGGCGGTGGCGTCGGCCTCGGCGGTGGCGGCGTCGTCTGCGGCGGCGGCGCACGGCGCGGGGCGAAGCGCCTCCGCTGCCAGCGCGGGAAGGGCCTCGAGGGCAATGTGGCGGAGGGGGGCCTGTAGGAGGGCTCCGGGAAGGCTCCGTGAAGGCTCCGCAGCCGCGCGACACGGGCGGGGGGCGGGCGGGACCGCGTCGGCGGCGGCGGCGCCTCGGTGGGCGAAGTAGGCGGCGGGGTCGACTCGCGCCGGGTGGCCTTCGGGCGGTGGGCCGGAGGCGGGCACCTCGAGCACGCACTGCTCCTACCGGAAGGTTCCGAGCATTCGGCGGAGGGCTCCGGCGGCGGCCTCACGACCACACATGTCTGGTCCTCGAGCAAGTCTCCGCCCGCACCCTCGAGCGCCGCCTGCCGCGCAAGCGTGGGCCGAGGTGTGACCGAAGTGTGATCGGAGTACGGGCCGCTCGAGAGCCGCCTGCAGCGCGTCGCTCTCGCGCCGCAGCGCCGCAACCTCTGCCGGTGCGAGCGCCGACCGCACCACCGCGAACCCTCTGGCGCGCCACTGCCGCAATAGCTCGGGGGCGAGTCTGCACAGAGGGAGGGCGCGGCGCCGCTTCGCAGGCTCCGCCGCCTAGAGCATCACCACACACAGAGAGATGAGGGCGCGACTGCATCGTTCCGTGCTGTCCGCGCCGCGTGTGAAGACACAAGCTGCTGCTACTGCGGACACAGCTGGCTGAAGGAAGTCCTACGTGGCTCGAGAGACAGGGGCGGATGGCTCCGCGTCTATGCTCCGCGCGCCTCCTCCGCCTCGCCGCGGGGGAGGGGGGAGCCGCGGGCCCGCCCCGCCCCGCCCTCCGCAGCGCCCGCCTGCGCCGCGAGTAGCTGCCGGTCGGGCAAGCCGCACCTGCGGGACATGTCTCGGACATGTCTCGGACGTGTCGTGGACGTGTCCTGCCGGTCAGGCAAGCCGCACCGGTCGCGCAAGCCCTGCGCAAAGTGGGAGCGCTGGCCGCACAGAAAGGTCGGGTAGCGCGCCTGGGGCATGAGCACGGCGGCTGGAGTGTGCGTGCGATGGGAATGCGGTCGAATACAGTCGAACAGGAGCCGGCTGCTAGTTTCCGCATCTGGGGAGCGGCGCAATCGCCCCCGCCAACAGCACCGCCGGCGCCTCGATGCGCGTGTCGTATCCGGGCATGCAAAAGTAGACGAGGCTCAGCCGCGAGCGCCAGCCTCCGCCGAGCACGCGGTGGCGCGCCGACCTGCTCGCGGATAGCAACGATTTTTCTAAGGGGGGATAGCCCGCGAGGCGGGAGGGAGCGGCGGCGCGCTCTCTTGAGCAGCCCGTTGCTCCAGTAGTGCAGGATGTCGCCGACGTTGACGATCAGCGCACCCGGCCGCGCGCCCACGTCCACCCACCCGCCACCCTCTCCGCCGCCGCCCTCCCCGCCTCCGCCGCCGTCCTCACCGCCGCCGCCGCCCTCGCCGCCGTCGTCGCCATCGCAGAGCACCTGCAGCCCAGAGGCATCGCCGCCCTCGTGGTAGAGCACCTGCGAGTGCATGACTGAAGGGCTACGCTCCTCTGACTGGCTGGGGCGGCGGAGGAGCACGTGTCGATGCGCCGCGAGCAGCGTGTCGAACACTGCTGGCCCGCCACAGCCTGTGCCTCGGCTGTCTCTCTGCTGTCTCTCTGCCGTCTCTCTGCCGTCTCTCTGCCGTCTTGTCTCTCGGCGGGTCTCTCAGCTAGATCGCGCCGTGAGCGAGGTCGGGTCCGTGTGCGGGCGCACCCGCACCTCTCCTTCGCCCGCCTCGCCCGCCGCCGCAGCCGCGCCTGCCGCCGCCTCGGCGCCGCCGTTGTCAGCCTCGACGCCGCTGGAAGCCTCGGCGGCCTCGGCGCGGGCCGCCGCTGGCGCCCGTCGGGCCGGGTAGTGCAGCGCGCAGAGGTTCGTGACGTGTCTGCGCAGCGCGGCGTCGAAGAAGTCGGGCGGCAGCCGCAGCGCCGCGGCGACGGCGGCGTGCAGGTCGAGGCAGAGGCCCTCGAAGGCGCGGTAGGCGGCTTCGTACGCGGCGCGGAAGCCGGGCGCGTCCGCCTGGGGATTGGGGTCGGGGGAGTCGGTCAGGGCAGGCGGGTGCGGGCGGATGGGCTCTTGAGCGTGGTCAAGCAGCAAGAGGGAGGCATCCGCTCAGACAGGAGACTGCGGCTGAGGTGGAGGCTTCTTCCTCTGGCTGGGGGTAGCCACCTCGTCCGGCCACTGGTTGGCGTCTCCAAAGTAGAGGGCGGCCTCGTCGCTCGGTCCTGCGGCGGGAGAGGAGGCCTCGACATGGGGCGACCTGGCCAGCTCAGTGCAGGCGGGGACGGACCAGAATAGTATGGGTCGCCCGCCACGAGTGAATCTGCCAGCCGACCGCAAGAGAACTTCTCGTGCAGGTGCGGCGGCCGGACGGCGTTCACGCACCCGTCGACCGGGATGAAGCCCTTGCGCGGGTGGGCAACTTTCGACTTTGTGTCCTCGTCCGACTCGAAAAAGGCTCGGGCAACGGACAGCGCGCCGAGGACCTCGGAGGCGATGCCGTGGTCCGAGAGGTGAAGAAACCCGACGCTGCTGAGCGACGCGCGGAGCGCCTCGAGTGCGGCGGCGTCGCGAGAGCGGAGGGCCGCCATCGAGACGGATGGGAGCGGCATTGCGACTCGCGATTTCCGCTAAGAATTTTTCGAAAAAAGAAATTCCGGTCCATGTGTGTGGAGACGAATTTAACCTTGACTTACCTTACCTTTAATTTGGACAGAGAGAAGAGTAGGTGGACAAGGAGCGTGAGTGAGACTCGAGAGAGCAGGCGGTCCCTAGCAATGGCGGAGCGCCTGACGCCGTGACGCGTGAGTACAGACTGGACGCTGCATGCTTCCTAGCACAGACAGCTTATTGCGCTGTGTCCGCATGCGCCGTCGTCTCATAAAGGCCCTCGGGCACGGGCAGCGGCGCTGGCCACGAGGACGGGACCTTCCACGGAAGAGCGAGCCAAGGGTGCTCGCCCGCGAAGCTGTCTTCGGCTTCGACACGCGCGAGCACGCTCGTGGCATTCATGGCCGTCCGCGGATCGCCGTCCGCTATGTAGCGGCGTGCGAGAGTGAGCGTCTGGTAGCCGCCCTGCGACGCGCCGTCGTGCAGCTTCCCCAGGGAGACAAAGTCGCCGAACTCGGTGGTGCCGCGCGCAGCGACGCTCGCCCACTCTGGTCCGAAGCACACGGCAATGCTGTGCTCTACGTCTTCGTAATCTGCAAGCCCTTCGCCATTGTCGAGCTTGTAGGAGCCGGTGAAGTGAGCGGTCTTCACCTCGCGGTCTTCTTCATCGACGAGCGACATGAATGGCTGACTACACCTGAGGCTGAACGTGTTAGCGCTCGCCTTGAACTCCGCATCTCTCGGCAGGCCCGCTGCGCTGGCGACCCACGTGCCCGTCCACTCAGCGCCGCTGATGGCGCCGCGCCAGTAGAAAATCGGCGTGCGCCAGTCGGAAGGTGGCGCCTTGCGCTTGCGCGCTGCGGCGGAGGCGGCCGCCTTTCTCTTTGGCGCCATCGTTTGCGTACGTCGGGAGTGCGTCGTTACTGCGTGAGTCTACGTCCTTTTGAGTTCGTGAAGAGGGTGTTGCAGCAAGCGTAGAGCACTAGAGATGATGCCTAGCAGCAATCACAAGCCTAGCAGGAAAAGAAATCCATGCGCCAAAAAAAAAACCAACCCAAGAGGGATGGGAGAACGGCACGCCGATAAAGAAAGAAAGAAAACAGACCATGCAAGGGAGGGATGGGAGGACGGCACGCCGCCACCACACAGCGATTTTCAGTGTATGTAGCTCTTACGAACATACCCGTAGGTAGGTGAACTGCTGACAGGGTTTGCGATGAGGAGCGATCCAAACGTGGTATTCGGGTCATTAGATCACTACCGCCGAAGCGCAAGCGCTTGGAGCAAGGGAACCGCCACGTATGGGTCCCAGACTAGCACCCCACCTCGCGGGCCGACGTTCTGGCCCATTTTAAGGAGAATATTCTATTTATTCTTTTTGGAGGAGGCGAAGGAGCAACAACAACAGGAGAAGGTGGCGACGCTCGTAGCGAAGGGGGCGGGAGGGTGGCAGCCGGTGGAGCTGAGCGAGATGCTCGGGCCGCTTTTGGAGAGCGTGGTGGTCTGTGGTGGACGAGCAATTGGCGGACGCGTCCGACGCCTCGGGTTCGGGGTCGAAAAAGCAGCTGCTGTTCGGGTCCCGGGTGGGGGTTAAAAAGAAAGAAAAAAGACCTTCGCCGAAAAATTCTTGGTCGATGGTTCGCGGGAGCTTCCTCATACAGCTCGCGCAGCTCGCCGCTGTGGCGGCAGCCCGGCTACCCACCCGAACTCCGCCGGCGGTGGCTCGCCCGTCGTGCTTGGCCACTCGGCCGCCCGCGGAAGTCGGAGCCACGCCGGCGCTCGCGGCCGCGGAGGAGAGGGCGACCGCGTGGGCGCTGGGTGCGGCGACAGCTATGATGGTGGCGCTGCCGGCGGGTGCGGCAGACGTGGCGTGGGTGGGTCCGACAAAGGCAGTGCTGTCGCCCCTCTTCGCCGTGTACACGCTCCTCTTCCTCTTCCGCACCGTCCTCTCCTGGTTCCCAAAGTGTGCCGCACACAGCTCGCCGGCTGGCTGTGGACGCCGCGGACGCCGCCCTAGTCACTCCTTGCGTCTCGCCCGCAGGTACAACCTCAACGCCTTCCCGTACAACGTCGCCGCCTGGCCGACGGAGCCGCTGCTGCGAGCCACGCGCCGCCTCATCCCGCCCGTCGCCGGCGTCGACATCACCCCGATCGTGTGGGTGGCTGTGATCTCCTTCTTCTCAGAGGCGCGCTCCCTTGCACTCTCCAACCGCCGCCCCTCACTCTCCCGCCACCCTCTGAGAGAGGTCCCCACCCCGACCACCGCTCGTGCTCGCCGCCACCTCGCCTCATCACCTACCCGGCTGGCTGCCTGCGCAGATCCTGCTCGGGCCGCAGGGCCTCCTCACGATTGTGCAAAAGAAGGGCGGCTTCTGACGCTGACGCATGTGGCGGTGGCGCACTCCCACCACGCATCCTCTCCCGGCCTCGGTGCTTTCCTGTGGCTCCCTCACTCAGTGCAGACTCGGGAGTTCTGCGATGAGCAGGCGTGCGACGTGCGACCCGATTGATCATCCGAGATTCGTGCGATCCGAATTCCGATTGATGCGTATACCGTGTGAGCATGCGTCATGTACTCCTGGGACACCCTACCCCCAATCCGCAGTAGCGCGGAACCGGAAGGGAAACACGCTCAACCAGGCGACGCGCGTGGGCGCGGTGAGCGGATCCTCGAGGCCGCACCCTCCGCTCCCGATGACAGTTTCGACACCCGAGTCCCGTTCTCGCTCTCGGCCGCACAAAAATAAGAAGGCGCGGGTCGACATGGCGCGGCGCCGTGCTCGTCGCACCACTCGGCGCCGCTCAGGCTCACGCTGGGCCGTCGCGCGCCTCGGTCGCCCGTGCGGCAGCCTCGTCGTCGATGCGCTCCTTGAGCAGCTTGGCGGCCGCATAGTCCTCGCGATCGATCGCCGCGTCCAGCTCTGCGTAGAGCCGCGAGCGAGAGGAGCCGCCCCGCGGAGGTGCTGCGCCCCTCCCTCCCGCCTGGCCAGCATACACCTCGACGTACGGGAGGCTTGGTAGCCGCAGGCGGCGCAGCCACGAGGGGCCGCCTCCGCCCGGCTCCGCCGTCGTGCCTTCGGGCTTGTACTTGCCGTTGTAGAAGGGGTTGTCCTGCTTCTCCTTCATGAGAAAGGCGTTGATGCCCTGCTCGCCGGACGAGACAGACCACTGCAGCCAGCCCGCGGCGGCGAGGATGCCGCCAGCTATGAGCACCTCCACGTCGACCGCAGCCGGCGAAGGTGTGCGCCTCGGCCCGCGTGGCAGCGGCATGGCGCGAACCGGAAAGTGCAGCGCACGTGCGCACGGAAGCAGCAGCAGCAGCAGCCATTCAAGGCTATGACGCCTTGGCTCGCGGCTCTGGCATGTCCTGCGAGCAGAATGTTTTGCGAGGCGCGAGAAAGGCTTGTACTGCGCAGAAGAGGAAGACGCCGAAGAAACCGACTGCTGCAACGGTGTGAAGGAGACCGTCTGTGCTCGGCGCGGCAGTGTCGAGGTCGACGACATGCGGCTCCATATACACAAAAAGCGACACCTTCGCGAGTAGCGCCGCCGGCCAGGGCAAAAGACGCAGCAGGGTTCCGGCTCCTACCCAGATAGGGGGTCTGTGCCCCACGACTCGCACCAAAACGCCCTCCCTACCTACCTATTGCGGGCGCCAATCGCCAGGCTCCGTGCCCCACCTACCTACCTATTCCCAGGCCGCGCAGCGAAGCGAAAAAATACCCGTTAGCCCTCTGTGAATACCCGTTAGTCTCGGCTGGCGTCCCAGCCGCAGGCGACTCGCCTGGCATGGCCCCGTTCCGGCTAACGCGCGGCCCGTCTCCCGCGCAAGCGAAGCGGTTTTTTTTACTTTCACCCCCCCCCCCCCCACCCACCCACCCACCACCACCACCACCACCACCACCACCTACCTACCTATTGCGGGGCCCTCTGGGGCGGTCAAAACCGGACCTACCAACCTATTGCATAGGGTCTAACCGTGGAGAACAGACCCCCTATCTGGGTAGGAGCCGGAACCCAGGCGAGGGTGATAGGATTCCTACGTCTGTTCCTGGACAGGTACGGGCAGTGTGAACAACACCTCGTGACCACAACTCCGCAGGCGCCTGTTGATGGGTCCAGGTGATAGCCCTGGATGGGCAATGCATACGCCTAGTTCAGTTGGACCTCAGATCGCCCGACCGCGTCCCGGTGCTCTGCCGTCGGATTTGTGACGCCGCCGCACCGCGCCGCGGCCGGGGGCCCTCCGCGCTCCGGAGGACGAGGATGGCCGTGAAGGGACAAGCTCTGGGAGGTAAAGTGTCAGTGTATATATTGTAGAGACCAACCTTGTGCACAATATCTCTCAGTCTAGCTAAGCCAGGGGAGGCGATGCCGGGGCTGTACAGCAGCTTGATGGTGCTTCGCCGGCGTGCGTCCCGGAGCGGTGCCGGACGGGCGGGTCGTGGGAGGAAAACGAGGGACAGCGCCGACGGCGCTCTGATTCGACTCTTAACTTCAAACAAAGCCTACCGCACGCGCCGCGACGCGGCGCGTGCGGTAGGCACTCGGGATTTTGTCAGATCGGCGTGTTCACGCCGGGATCGTGTCCCTCACAATCTGACCAACCATTCGCGGCGACGAGTAGAAGAGGTTGGGCCCGAGGCTGCGAGGCACTCCCTTGCCCGGCGGGGCGAGGGAACCCTGCTGGGGCGAGCCTCGGCGAGACAGCGTTCAGCTGTTCCCCACAGCAGGCTTGGGGAAGTACCTTGAGGCGAGGCGGATTTTGCTCTCTTGAGCACTTGAGCACTGCATAGGGTCGATTCCGCATGGTACGGGACCCCTCGATCGTCTCGCCCTCCCTCGCTGGTGTGTTCATTGGGGGGGGGGGGGGGGGGTCATAACAAACACGGTACAGGATCGAGGGGACACCTTGTGATTTTTGGGTCAAAATCGTCCCGATTTCATAATGTTCGTTGGTACGTGCATCCGCGGCGCCCAGCGCGGTGCCAGCGGCTCCCATACCTCTAAGAAGGTGGGGGACGACAGTCGTGGCCTTGTTTTGGACGTTACGTGCCGCCGAAACTTGATCACCGATCACCGTCTGAATAGATAAGTCCTATACAACTCTCCAAAGGCCGGTGATCGGTGACCAGGTGATCGGCCGGTGATCATGCAGCTAGTGGGTGGTGCTCCGGCCACCGTAAGGACGGTCAGGCTACGGTCAGGAAGTAGGTTTGAGTTCACACTCTCCAACACTTAAAATCCCCGTTTGTCGATAAGCGATAACGGACAATTCAACACGAATGGTTAGTTACTGCTCGCTGCTCGGCCATGCGGTAGCGTCTGGTGATGCCGCCCCTGCGCGGCTCGCTCGGCAGCAACTGCGCCGCGCAGCGCAGGTTCGAGGGTCGCGGTGGGTGGGTGCACCGGAAGACGTAGCGGTCGAGAAAGCGCTCAGCGACCGCGTCTCGAGGATGGAGCCGTCGCGCGGACCCGCCCGGCCGACCGGCAGTAGCAGCAGGCGCCGGAGGGCGCGGGAGGCAGCGGCGACACCTCGGGCCAGAAGCGCGAGCCCTAGGCTGGTGAGGGGGGCCGCTCATGGGTAAACGGCTCTGGGACTTAGCTAAATCGCGCATCGAAATCGGGACGATTTTGCCAGGGCACCGTCACAAGGTGGCACGCTGCTGAGAAGCAGTGTCGTCCCCCCTCTCCATCATCTCATGCACATCTCATACAGGGAGACGTCGGCGGCGATGGCGGTGATCGGTGTGACCGATCGAGCTACAAGAGGAACTTGTTCAGCATGATCAGGGATTCAGGGTGGGCCGAGCAGTTCCTCACTTCCTCAGTGGGTGAGCTTCACACACAGTACACACACACGAGACCTCGGGCGGGTCTCCCCTTCACCTTTTCGGCTCACGTGGATTCGAACCACCGCCGGGATGGAAGCTTCCTGCTTCCACCTTGAGAAACAGCGCTGCACATTTGCTCTCTAAACAATCAACACTTGCCGTCTCCCGGCAGCGCCCTCCCTATAAGCCGAGCGGTCAGTAGTCGTCCGGCGGATAGCGAGCCCTCTGGAACGCCAGGGCGATCCCCTCTGGCACATTGTCCTTCCCCCACCCCGCGCGGACTACGTCGCCATCAAAGTTGGAGGCAATGACGGCGGGCACGCCCGCCTCGAGTAGCCAGCCAAAGGTGTTGCCGCCGCAGCCCGCCTCCCAGTACGAGAGCATCACTGCGCCTCGTGCGCGTCCACCTCCGTCGAGGTCGACGCGTCGAGATCGGAGCGCATCACCGAGATGCCAGAGCCCGCCTTCGCCGACATGATTCCCCGCCCGGATAGCTCGGTGAGTGTGCCGTCGCCCGAAACGGAAAACCGGACACGGGAAAATATAAGGTAAGATCAGAGTCGGAATGCGGTTCGCCGCGGAGCTCAGCTGTGAGCGCTGTCAGAGCGGTGTTTCGACACCGATATCGTTCAAGGAGAACGCTGATTCAAAATCCGCTGTTCACACATCACAGGTAAGTGTAAGCGGAGCAGCTGAGTAGATACATACAGCGAATCCTTTGTGTTCACACCTGCAAGAGCAGGTGTGAACCGATTTCGGCCTTAGCCGTCGGTATGCCAATAGCGTGCTAGCCAAGTAGTACGCAGTTGGATTCCGAGGGTGTCCCATCACAAGTTCGGCTGCCGACAGACAAGATTGTCCCTTAGTCGACAGCACCCGCCTTATGGACGGTGCTCTGACTGGCTTTGAGAATATATTTTTTCTTTTTGGTTCACATGGCTAGAGGTTGGCCTCCCACCGTTGTGAACATAGTCTGGCCCGAAGGAGCCGCTCGTCTCTTGTCCGGGCAAACGCGCGCCCGATAGCCCCATTAAGCACGTGTGAGGGGTATCCGAGCGCCGTAAACTCCCTGAGCTTGCTCGTCACGCTGAGCGTGAATCCCTCGTCATCGCTCGCCATTGCGACAACCTTGAGCAGGCATCCAACAACGATTCCCTCCTTCATTTTCGCGCATGTGAAGCTATCCCAACGATGGTAGCGCCACACCCGGGGTACCGCCTCGAGCTCGAGAGTCGTTTCCAAGAAATGGGCGCTCTCTGCTGCCTCTAGCTTCAAAGGAGCCCAGTAGCATTCAGAACGGCGGAAGTCCTCCCGAAAGCGGTCGACATCCCACACACTATCGTCCTTTGCAGTTATCGTAATCACATCGTCCATGTATCGTTTCATACGGAATCGGGCTTTGACATCATCTTCAAGCGTATGCATCCATTCCTGCTCCATCCATGCGAGAGTTCCTATCGCCAGCGGTGGCGAGAGTGCACTCCCCATCGGGATACCGCGGGCCTGCTTTAGCAGGCGTCCGTCATACGTGATGACGTAGCAGTTATCCAGATCGAAATCGATCACCTCGAGCATCGTCGAGAAGCTGATCGATGCGTGTCCCCACACCTCCCCTTGTTGTGCCCACGAGCACTTCTTCTTGCCTCTCTTCGGTACAAGTATTCTCGGGTCCTCTCCCGCGCCAGATGGCAGATTATTGCGCACATCATTTAGAATGTCTCTCATTGCCACCCGCATCGCTTCCTTTGGCATACTCGGGTAACAGCTGTCGACGTCGTTAATCTCGTAGCTGAGCTCTGGCGTAAACGCGAAGCGGAGATCAAATATCGGGCTGGCTCGCCTGTCCTGGTTACGCGTGGTGCTAGCGTCTCCCACCGCCCACCCATGCATGTTCGTCCTCTCTCTCTCTCCCGACGTACGTCTCCGTCGCAGTCAGTCTCTCGCCCACGCGGTCGCGTGTGACTCGGTGCGCATGAATTTTCTCTCTTTCTCTCCGTGTTCCTGCCTGGCGCGCTCGAGCAAGGCCATACACATCACATAATGAGGACGCCCCTGGGCCTCGTGGCCGCGCCCGTGCTGCCTGCCTGCTCTCGCGGCCTGAGCGTCCGGCTCTGCTCGCCCTCGTCTGCCGCCGGTCCAGCTGGCGGCTGGGAGGAGTACCACGTGCCGGTCCTCCGCGACGAGCTCGTGCGGTGGCTGGTGACCGATCCGGCCGGCACGTACGCGGACCTCACGCTCGGCGGCGGCGGCCACTCCGCAGCGCTGCTCGACGTGCTCGCGCCCGCCGGCGGCCGGCTCGTCTGCGCCGACCGTGACGGCGACGCGATCCGGCAGGCGCGCCGCCGGCTGGGCACGCACGTCGAGAGCGGCGCGGCGACGCTGCTGCAGACGAGCTTTGGCCGCTTCCCGGCGGCGCTGTCGCGCGCCGGCGTCGGCGTCGGCGCCGGCGGTGCGCCCGGGGAGGGCGCTCGGCTCTCTGGCGTGCTGCTCGATCTCGGCGTGAGCTCGCACCAGATTGATGAGGCGTCGCGTGGCTTCTCGATGCGGTTCGAGGGGCCGCTCGACATGCGGATGGACCAGGCGAGCGGCGAGCTCACCGCCGCCACCATCCTCAACGAGTGGAGCGCCGCCGAGATTGCGGACGTCCTCTGGAGGCACGGAGAGGAGCGCCTCTCGCGCCCGCTCTCGCGCGCTCTCGTCGCGGCACGCCCTCTGCGGAGCACGGCGCAGCTCGCGAGCGTGGTGAAGGCGGCGCAGCCGGGCGCGCCGAAGGAGCTGACCAAGCGAGCAGCGCGCGTCTTCCAGGCGCTGCGCATCGAGGTCAACGCCGAGATGGACGAGCTCGAGGCGATCCTCGCGGCTGCAGCCAGCCTGGTGCGGCCGGGCGGTCGGCTCGCAGTCATGTCGTACCACTCCCTCGAGGACCGGCGCGTCAAGCGGCTGCTGCGCTCGGGCGCGACGGGCGGCGACTCGCCGCCTCGCGACTTCTACGGCAACTCGCTCGCGCCGTGGACGCCCCTCACCCGCCAGCCCGTCTTCGCCAGCGACGCCGAGATCGAGGCCAACCCGCGCGCCCGCTCCGTCCGGCTGCGGGTGGGCGAGCGGTCGAGCCATCCCGCGCCCGAGGCGGCGGCGGGCTAGGGGGGGTGTCGGTGTCGTCTGTCGAGGCCTCGGTCGAGGCACGGGGTAAATTCGTCCCTTGCACTCTTCGTGGGGACCGGTTTGGAGCAGAGTAGAAATGGTTGGGTAGTAGGGCTAGAGGGTCGCTCTACACTTAGCCTCTGCAGCGAGCAAGCGCCCAACTTAGCCCCCGCACGGAGCCGGGCTCGGACTTAGACGCTGTATGGTCGGGGGCCATGAACTTAGACGGCACAAGGCCAAATCCGGGTAAAACCCGGGTATACCTGCAAAAGTCCAGGTTTACCCGAAAAATACCTGGACGCGTCCCGACCAACGTATGCCGCGCACGACGCCATATCGCCTTGTCCCAGGGCCAGTGCGCTACTTGCGGCGCGCAACTCCTGCTCAAGTACGCGCACCGTACCATGTGCTGCCGCTATGCGTGCCTTAAGGCGGCTGCGGCGAAGCGGCGGGCGCGGCATGCCGATGGCAGTGCGGACGATGCGGTTGCGATGTGTTCTGCTTCAAGATCGTGGCGGTGCTTGGCATGCACTTGTGCGATCCCAATCAGCTCATCGCAACGCGAAGCAGCGCAACAAGCTGGCTGCTGCCAACAAGGCCCTATGCTAGATCTACCTCACGCGCGGATCGTTCAAAGAGGACCAGCATACACAGGCTTCTCTGACATGCGTTTGTTTGAGCTTGAGGCTATTTATGTGAGAAATGTTTGGCTAGAGATTGCGCTCAAGAAGAGCAACGAGAATCGGAAGAGGAGGATGCTGAGGCGGCGATTGCTGAGGCATGAGGAGGATCGATCCGGATTAGAAGGCGCCCGCCGCAGGCGAAGAAAATTTGGGGGCTAGCGCCGTATCGTTGATCACGGTGGGAGCCTCTTGGCCCCAGGCTGTGCCACGGCCGACTTAGCCGATGTAAGAGGCTCTCGCTGATCTTAGACCGCGTAAGCACCCCAGCGTGACTAGTCACACTTAGACCCGCTCAGCCTCGAGGCTCAGAACTTAGACTACTACCCAACCAGTAGAGTAGATCGATTAGCGTATTTTCTTATTTTACCTCATCGAAGGCGCTCTCAACAAAGACCTTCACGCGGCCCGCTGGGTGCGCTTCATAGCTCCCTCCCTGGCCCTGGATGGATGTGACCGAAGGGTTCTGGAAGGGTTTCGTGTGCAGCCAATTCTCGCGCGGGGCGGCATGCGCGCCCCATCGCCCATGCCGCAGCGCGCAGGGGAGCGGCATGCCGCGGCTCAACTTGAGAGGAGTTCATCTTGACGGCGGTCGCCGACGCTGCTTGAACGGCAGTTGTCGACCGCCGGCAGTTGACCGGCAAGGGGCAAGATGAAGTCCACTGCGCTCGCAATCGGGATGTCCGCCGGAACCGTCTCGCCGAGGCGCTCAATATTCTCTGTCTGGCGAAGGCCAGTTCCTTCATCCTTTAAGTGTGGAGAGGTTCCACACTTTCGGTGCTTATGTGTCGAGTCACCGGCTCCACACCGCGTTCTACACTTTTTCAAGTGTAGAACCAACTGTGTGAATTTTCTTCTCAATAACAAGGCTGTGAACCAACTCGAGGCGAACGCTCGGCAGAAGGAGCGCGTCGCTGCCATCCTCGCGGGCACGGACGCTGCGGGCGCGGGCGCGGGGGTGGAGGAGGCGCTCAATTGCTGGGAGGAGGGTGCGTACGAAGCGGAGACGCTGGAGACGCTCGCCGAGTTCGGCGATTGAGCGCCTCCCTCTCTCTCCGGCTGCGCGCCTGACCGGTGCGGCCTCCGAGTCGGCGTCTAGCGCGCGCGATAAGGTTTTTGCTCGCCTTCCCTGGGACCCCGTGTTGCATGTCACTGTCATCACTGTGCGATTTCGGGGCCCGGGGTTGTGCGTTTACGTGAACCAACTCTCGTGAGCACATCGACTCTGCGCTCGATGTCGGACTCGCGGGCAAAGTGCCACTTTGCGCTCGTTGGCGGCGTGTACATCGACGAGATCCACGAGGTTGCTGCTTACCCTTCGGAGGACAGCGCGATCAGGGCGGCGTCAGTGCAGCGCCGTCGCGGTGGCAACGTCGGCAACTCTGCAGCGGTGCTCTCTCAGCTGGACGCCGGGTCGGTGGAATGGGTCGGCGTCGTGCCCGCCAACGGCGGAGACGGCGCGGTGGCATTTGCCCTCGACTCGCTGCACGCCTACAACGTGAGGACGGAGCGGCACGAGCGTGTGCAAGGCGAGGCGATTGGCATGCCCACCTCGATGATCCTCTCGAGCCGGGCAACCGGCTCACGCACCATCGTCTCCTCCCGCCGAGGCCTCCGAGAGCTGTGCGCAGAGTACTTCAGCCGCGAGGTGCTCCCCGCCCTCGTGCGTGAGCACCCGGTGCTGTGGCTGCACTTTGAGGGCCGGGAGCCCGGCAGCGTGGCCCGCATGGTGGCCGAGGCGGACAGGGCGAGGCTTGCTGCGTGGCGCCTCTCGGTCGAGGTGGAGAAGCCCACCTTCACGCCGGAGGCGGTGCTCACGCTGCTCGCCGGTGCGGACGTCGCCTTCGTGTCGCGCGAGTGGGTGCTGAGGAACGCGGCTGCTCTGCTGGGCGGCGAGGCGGCCTCACGCCAGAGGCAGACGGAGCGGCTTGACGACTGCCACCTCGCCATCGCCACCCTGCGCGCGCTAGCAGGTCGCTCCCTCGCGGCCGCGAAGCGAGGCAGCGCCGGCGTGACTTGGGTCTGCGCCTGGGGCGCCCTCGGCGCGTTTGCGCTCACCGGGGTTCGGGACGAGGGCGGGCGCGTCGTCGAGACGTGTGCGGTTTTGGCGGCCGCCAGCGCCGTGGAGCGGGTGGTGGACAGCGTCGGGGCGGGTGACACCTTCAACGCGGCGGTCATTGCCTCCCTCGCCGCCGGGGTGGGCGCGGGCGAGGCGCTACGCGCGGGCTGCCTCGTGGCGGGCCGAAAGGTGGCGCAAGCGGGCTTTGATGGGCTTACGCTTCCGCCAAGCTGACGCCCCAACCAACCGCGCGGGCGTCACCTCCCTGGGCCCTGCTGGACACCATCCTCTCGCGACGTAGATCGACTTCACATGATATAATTACAGCGATTGCGCTCACGATGGAAGCATCCCACATGCGCCCCCCACACCGGTCACCGCGCCCGGCGCCGCCGCGCAGCCCGCCTCTCTGGCCCAGGGTCCGTTCTCTACGTCTTTGATGTACGGTATATACGCATGTATGACGGTCGGCACCGTAACACCTGTGTTGCCTGAGCATCGCCATCGGCGACGGCGTGGGTCTCCCGGACTCCCCCCCAGAGAGACTGAGCGCGACGGCTCGAGAGAGCACACAGGTCTAACAACAACTCAGTGGCAAATGTCTGAGGGAGAGTGTGCGCAGGCCGATTACTCCGAGAGTGCAGTCCGGCTGACAGTGAGCGACTCACTGTTGGAGCCCGAGCTGGACGAGGATGGAGGCGGTCGCGCAGTCGTCGAGCGACGACGAGAGCGACGACGTGCTGGGCGGAGAGAGCGGGCACGGCGCGCCGCTCGAGGGGGGCTGGGACACCAGACGAGAGGCATCGAGGACGGCGACGGGGGGCGGGGCAGGGCAGACGCTCCTGCGCGGCGCCGGCTCCGAGCGAGCGCCGGGCGGCGCAGGCGGCGGCGGGGAGCCGTCTGCCTCGTCGTCCTCGCTCCTCCTCTCGCAGGCGTCGAGCACCGTGCTTTGCGACTCCATCGACCAGCCTCGCTTGAGCGGTGGCCGCAGCCCCCACGCCGCCTCGTCCTGGCGGGGCCTGCCGCCGAGCGCGGCCCCATCCACCCCGCCATCCACCTCGCTCGAGGACCCTTGCAGCCGGGCCCAGCGGTTGCGGACTGCGCTATCCGTCCGGTTGCCGGGCAGCAGCGCCGAGATCTGGCGCCACTTTGCCCCGTAGCGCGCGAAGCCCTCCCGGATGATTCGGTCCTCCTGCTCGCTCCAGTGTAGCCGTGGGTGCTGGCGGACGGCACCGGGTGGGGATGGGCTCGCGCCAGCCTCGTCGCCCCTCAGCCTGTGCCACCGGTTGCGAGCGGCGTCTGCCGTGCGGCCGTGGACGTTGGCCGCCACCTCTGCCCAGTTGGTGCCCAGGGTGGCCACGGCCGCGAGCAGAATGCCGTCCTCAGCTGCTGACCATGTCGAGGTCTTGCGGTCTGGCTCGCCGTCGGCGGGAGGGAATGGGGTCCTCTCCGACGCAGCGAGGCGGGCAAGGCGGGAGGTCGGGTTCCTCATGGGCTCTGTGCCGAAGGCTGGCACCATCACAAAGAAGGCGGCGTCTCAAGCATGTGTCGGGTCGGCGGCTCGACTTGCTCATGCCGCGAAGCGAGCATTTTCTTTTTTCGTAGAAAGCGTCCAAAAATCACGCGAATACCACGTTCGAATCGCTCCTCATCGCAAACCCTGTCATTCCGGTATGTTCGTAAGAGTTACATACGCTGAAAAACTTTGAGAGCTACATATTTGGGCACGCGGCGGCGGCCGAGAGCTACTACACACGCACACATACTCTCTCTCACACGTAGAAAAATTTCCGTGTGCGCGGCGCAGCTCGGTGTGCTGGACGGAGTTTTTTATATGACTCCGATCGCCCTCACCGTCGCACCTGCGCTCGCGCCGCAGCCGCTCTGCCTCGGCACCGCCTTTCCTCGCCGGCCAGCCTCGGAGGTGCTCGCAGACGCGGCGGAGGCCGCCGCCGCCGCAGAGGTGGGCGGCGAGGGCGACGCCATCGACGTGTACGGCCGCGGCGCGTGGCTCGAGTCGTTCGAGTCCGAGGTCGCGAGCGAGTTCGGCAAGGAGTCGGCCCTCTTCTTCCCCACCGGCGTGTGCGCGCAGCTGGCTGCCCTCTGCGTGTACGCGGGAGGAGTCGGCCGCGGCGCGGGCGACCTCATGCCCAGGCTCTCGCGGCCGTCCTTCATCGTGCAGGCGACATCGCACCTCCTCCTGCACGAGGAGGACGCCGCGCGCCAGCTGCTCGGCTTCACGCCGCTGGTCGTCGGCGCAAAGGACAGGCCGCTCTCGCCGGCGGACGTCGAGAAAGAGCTGTCGCGCCTCGCGGCGGTCGGAGCGCGGCCGTGCTGCATCCTGCTCGAGGTTGCCCGCGCCGCGAGCTCGGCTGCGAGACACGCTACAACGGACAGCACGCCCCAAGACCGCACAGTAATCACAGGTGCCGCACCGCGAGCTCGGCTGCGAGACGCTCCGCCTGGACGAGCTGCGCGAGATGCGGCGGCTCGCGGTCCAGTACGAGGTGCCGCTGCACGCCATCGTACAGTGGCGTATGATGTCGCCCTACCCCTAACCCTAACCCTAAGACTGGTAGAGTGGAGCGCACCTGGCCAGGTGCCGCTGCATGCCGACGGCGCGCGCCTCCTCGAGGTCGCGCCCCACTACGGCCTCCCGCTCCCCGAGCTGTGCCGCCTCTTCGACTCGCTCTACGTCTCCTTCTACAAGGGCCTCGGCGGCGTCACCGGCGCCATGCTGCTCGGCAGCCCGACCGTGACGCGAGAGGCGGCCGTCTGGCGGCGCCGGCTCGGAGGCAACCCCTTCACCGTCGCGCCGTACGCGCTCTCCTGCCGCGCCGCCTTCCGCGCCCACCGCGGCGCGCCCCTCCCTACCACTCACCCTCACCCTCACCACTCATCACTCATCACTCCCCCTCCCCCTCCCCCTCCCCCTCACCCTCACCCGCACCCGCACCCTCCTGGCTCGCCTCGGCACAGCCCCACCACGCAAGCTTCGAGCGCACACCCGTACCACAGCTGCGACACCCGTGACCACCTTCGTAGGCTCCTTCGACGCGCGCTGGCGGAGGCTCCAGCAGCTGGCGCCGCTCCTCTCCTCCACCGCCGCCGAGGAGGGCGGATCCCTCCGCTTCGTGCCCGAGGCGCCGACCTGCTGCCAGGCGCACGTCTACCTGCGCGGCGACGCCGCCGCCCTCGACGCCGCCCGCGACGCCGTGCTGCGCGAGCGCGGCGTGCGGGTCTACTCACGGCTGCGCGGCGCGGCGGTCGGCCCCGAGGCCGACGAGTGCTACTTTGAGCTGACCCTCGGCCCGAGGCACCTCGAGGTGGCAGACGCGGTGTACGTCGGCGCGTGGCGCGCCTTCTTCGCGGCGCTCGCAGGGCCGCAGCCGGGAGGGCGCAAGGGCGTCGGCGATGCGGAGCCACAGAGCTGAAAGCGAGCGCTGGAAGTGGAGACAGTTGGGGTCCCTTTGTGCCACCCCTCCGTCGACGCGCGACACGACGCACGATGCAATTTCCATGTACCACATCGAGATATAACGATATAAGTTGCACTCCCATAGAGAAGGCTTCAAGCTTAAAATGCAGGGCCGAGCGTTTTCCTTTTCGGCCCGGAGGGCGGAGGGCTGGCGTGGGGGGCCTTAGGTAAAGGTAAACCTGTCTCAGACCGCCGGAGGTAGAGGTAAACGGAGCCCACGTGAGGGAGGTACACGTACGCGTGAACGTGGTGCGCAAGGCCCCGCGAGAGTGCTTCGCCTGCGGCGCGCCTGCCCGGCCATGCCCATGACCAGGCTTCACCGCCGCTTGCCGGCGGCTGATCGCATCGCCTACCGCATCGCGAATGACCAGTGCCGCGACCACTTGAAACCTTGCACTGCCTGCCTGCTGACCCGGTGCAAAGAATCTGCGTCTCAGTTCTTCGGCGCATTGGCTTTTTCATGATTGCTCAAGTGGCTCGAATTGGCATCCAACGCAATGCGAACATGACTGGAGAGCATATGCAACACGGAAGGGAGCTTGGCGCGAAAAACCGGCACGCAATCTCCCTTCCTCTCTCTATCCCCCCTTAGAGCTCCAGAATCCACACACCCCTGTGCCCTTGGGATCGCGTACGAGCTGTGGCTACCGTAGGCCACACCAGCGTCGCTGAGGGTTCCCCTGCCCTAGATAGATGGGAAGCTGGCCGCTGCGGATCCGAAGACCGACTGCACCAGCAGGGTGGGTGCCTACTGCCCTACCTTAAGGTACTCCCTATATCTACTTAAGGTCCCCGATGCCAGTTTCGGGGGGCAAACCCTGCCCGGCCCCTAGGACCCCGGGTAAGGCCCAGGTGTGGCCTAGGGCATCAGAAGGGACCAAGAGGAGTCCAGTCTGAGCCATAGAGCCCATGTCTTTGCCCCCGAAGGTCGCGTTCAAACGCCCGGAACGGCCGTCTCAGTGGTGTCCGGCTGGCGCGATCACCGAGCTGTGACGCTCAGGGAAGCCTGATGAGGTACTGGTTTCTTTGCCCAGGGCTGGCCTTCCCCCCAGGCTGGATCAGCTGAGCAAGGTTTGGGGAGAATCCTATATTGGGATCTTCAGATATTTTGACGGATGACCAAAATCACCCCGTTTTTGCCCAAAGTCACCTGTCAGCTGTTCACATTCGTGGCGCTGTTCACGCTTCACAGGTAGGGAGGGGTGAAACTGAATGAAACGCGGAACGCGATCTTTGGATCTCAGCTCGCCGAGCTCGACCTGAACGGCGTCAGCGGGCGCGACCGCTGAATCGCAGCCGTTCGTGCTGCACACATGCATCGTTGCCCTTTCACATTACTTCCCCCCCTCCCACGCCTGCAAGAGCAGGTGTGAATCCAGGGCACCTCAACGTTTCACAGAACAGCGCACAGCGCCATAGGAGGTATTTTCTTCTCAATAACAAGGCTGTGAAGATGCGTGTCGCGCACTCATTCATGACCGGTCTCAATGTCCCACCCCCCTGCGCGCGGGCCTTCTAGGCCCGCGGGTAGTCTCACCCCATCCCCAGGGCCTCCAGGGCTCGCACCTCAACCTCTCACAGACCAGCGCATGCGCTATCAGACGTATTTTCTTGTCAATAACAAGGCTGTGAATCGTTCGATCTTCGGACTGTCGCCGGTCGCGAGCAGCGAGAACATACACATGTTGTACATGTCATGTGGCGCCGCTTCGCCACCCGCGGCGCCTTTGCCACCGCCGGAGTCGCCGGTGCAGCATACGCTGTCTCTCCCGGCTTTCGGCGATCGGTGTGCTTCTGGAGCACGGTCGCACCCTTCGTGGGCGAGTATCAGTCAATCAGGCTGCGGGCGCGGTGGGAGCGGTGGGAGCCGAGCGAGCTCGAGGCGGCGCAGCAGCACTTTCACCACCGCTCTGCCCTCAGAGCGGTCGACGTCATCCTGCGGCTGGGCGGCATCTACATCAAGATTGGACAGTTCGCCTCCACAATGGGTGCCGGGGTCCTCGAGGACGCGTACATCCAGGCGCTCCGGCCGCTGCAGGACGGCGTGCCGCCTCGGAGCCTCACCGAGGTGAGAAGGATCATCGAAGCCGACATCGGTCATGCCGAATGGCGGCGAGCTTTGCTCCTCCTCCGACCCTTGCACGACATTACATGATGCTGTGTAGGTGTGCCGATGGAAGAGCTCTTCTCCTCCTTCGACCCAGAGCCCGTCGGCGCCGCCTCGATCGCCCAGGCGCGCTTGCGTGCGAACGTGAGACGAGCTCTTTCCAAGAGGCATTCTTTGACCAGATTCGTCCCAGGCGCACCGCGCGACGCTGCTCGACGGGCGCGAGGTGATTGTCAAGGTGCCGTACCCAGAGGAGAGATACAATCCAAGGAAACCTGATTCCATGATGTCCGAGCTGCGTACACACAGGTGCAGTACCCAGAGGTGCCCACGCTGTACGAGGCCGACTTCGACAACCTCGAGATCGTGACGCGTTTCCTGTTCCCCGAGAACCTGCCCCTCATCGAGGGGCTGCGCAAGCGGCACCAGGCGGAGCTCCGGAGAGAGGCCGCGCCGCATTCACACAGTACAATAGAATGCTGTCTACAACTGTCAGGCGGAGCTCGACTTCCGGCAAGAGGCGCGCAACCTGGCCGAGGTGCGGGCCAACTTGTCTGCGCGCGGCTTCGAGCCCTCGCGCGCCCGCCTAGATGCGGGACACAGCAGGCCCCTGCATCTGGACCCTCGTCTCCCGACTAGCGCTCGAGAAGGCGCGTCTTCAGCCGCGTCCGCGCTCCCCGACATCGGGCGCGTTCTCCCCGTAAGGCTCGTCCGCCTCCCCTCGCTGCCCGACGAGCGCCTCTGCTCGCGCCACGTCCTCGCGATGGAGCTCCTCCACGGCACCAGCTTGGCGGCCGCCATCGACCTCGAGGCGGCCGACATCGCCGCCGCCCTCGGCCTCGAGTCCGCCGACGCGATGCGCAAGCAGCTGCTGCGGCGGATGGGCAAGCATTCGGAGCGGGGCGGCGGCGGAGAGAGCACGGTGGGGAGCAGACACCAGGCGCCTCTGTCAACAGGCGAGCACTTCGAGCGAGGGGGCGGCGCCACCCGCCTCCTCTCCCTCGCCGAGGCGGCGGCGCCCCTCGTCCGCCTCGTCGCGGCGACGCTGCGGCTCGCGCGCTCCGCCGCCGTGTCGACCTCCAACGCGCTCGCGCGTTGCATGGAGTCCGTCGGTTTGGGAGGGTTCGCGCCGCCCCTCCGAGACCCGCCCGAGCGGAGGCACGACCTTAGCCGCGCTCTGCGGACGCTCGTGCGAGTGCACGGGGTCGCGATGCTGCTCGACGGCGTGTACAACGCGGACCCGCACCCGGGCAACGTCCTCCTCCTCCCCGACGGGCGGCTCGGCCTGATCGACTACGGCATGTGCGGCCGCCTCGAGGGGAGCGCGCGAGAGAGCATCGCGCGGGTCGTCCTCGGCCTCGCCGCCGGCGACCGAGCGGCCGTCGTCGACACGTACGAGCGGTCCGGCTACCGCGCGTGCTGGCACGGCGGGGCGCCGCACGGCCCCGACGCCGTCTACCGCTTTGCGACCTTCCACCTCGACCGCATCGACCTGTCTCCGGTCGGGGTCGGCCCGGGCGGCGAGGGAGGCGGCGGCAGCGCGACGATGCCGGTGATGAAGCTGCTGCGCTCGACGATCGAGGTGTCGGTGCCCGACTGGGTCGAGCAGGCGCGGCGCCTCGGCGGGCTGCTCATCGGGGTCGGCAGCCAGGCCGGGCGCCCGATCTCGCTGGCGCACGAGTGGGCGCCGATCGCGGAGGAGGTGCTTGCGAGCGCCGGCGGGGCGAGGGCGGCGGACGCGCGGCGGCTGAGGACGCACCTGACGGGGCTGTCGGCGTGAGGGCTGTCTGGAGAGATGTTTCTTTTTTATCCGGGTCACAGTGTCTCTGTACGCGAGAGACGACGTCTTCTAGAGGAGGTAGGAGCGGGAGGAGACGTCTTCTCGCCTCGTTTGACGCGTTTGCTCTAGAGCTGTTGCTCTAGTGCACGCCCCTCGCTGGGCGTCACACCTTGCTCAAGTAAGAAGTAAAAATTAAGGTGTTTGGCGACTAAGTCTAAGAACGAGCGAGATTTCTCGTGTGAGAGTGGTGCGGGGTCTACTCTAAAGGGTGTGGATGCTGGGTTCAACAAAATCGGAGGACGCGACCCACTTCGCCACAGACGGTCCCGCGCCTCGCCGCTAAGACGGGTACACGACCGCGGCTTGTGTGCGTGTACCCGTCTTTGTCCGGAGTGAAAAGTCCAACGCGCTCGTCGGTGACGGCTTCCTCCAACCTGCGCCGCGCTCGGCGAACCTCGACAGCGCTTTCGGTGGCATGCAGCTCTTTGCGACAGAAGCCTGGAGAGCAGCTCCTCTGCTGCTCACACACTCTGCACAGCTGACACAGCCTACTGTGCGGCTGTCACAGCTGTGACAGCGATGGGCTCGCCCTCACTGGCCCTCAGTCACTTGTGCTGCGGCTTGTGTGAGCGACACTGCTCGGCGACTGCCGGCACACTGTGAGACCATGGGTGAGAGGTCAAACCACGCTACCAGCGCTTGGTCACATCGGCCCCGAGGTCAGATCCATCTACTCTGTTGATGACAAGACTTGTCTACCGGCTGGAGCCGAGCAGGAGGGCTTGGCGCACAACCCCTGTTCAACTCACCCTCCACACCCCGTGTATATGGGGCGCTGCGCGCTGTGGTGTGCGAACACGTGGAACAGGCGGTGCGTCGGATGCGCGGTGCGTGTTGCTGTTGGGCCGCGTGTACCGGGCGTCCTTGTCGGTGCCGGGCGGCCGCTGCCGCACGAGGCACGTGCCGGCCTTGCCCTTGCGCCTTGGCCCTTGGGGCTTGGGCCGGGAGCGGCGAGCGCGGCCCGCCGGCGGGTTGGGGATGAGGGGGTTGTGTCAGTGTGTTGAGGGGTGTGCCAACGGCAGAGCGATGTGTTTTGCCTTTGAAAACCGAAAAGTTTGTATTTAGACGACGTCTTTTCACCAGGCACATGTAATATACCAACCCCGGCGTCATCTGTCCGCCCCACTGCTGGACGACGCCGCGTCCGCTCCTGCCGCCTCCACCTGCGCGGCGAGGCTCGCGAGGGCATCGCTCTTCGCTCGCCCGCCCGCCTCGACCGCCTCCACGAGCTTGCGCATGGCGACAGTGAAGTCGTCGGGACTGCGGTCCGCGTCGACAAACTCCTCCACGAGCCGCATTGGCAGTCGCAGATCTGCCGGGCACGACACTGAGCGCAGGCCCTCCATGCAGTTCACGAGCCGAGCGCTGCGAGCGCGTGGAGTGATGACAGGTGAGTGAGCGCGGTCCGCGCGAGCGAGGCTCGGGCCGTGGTCTGCGCGCACATTCCGTCGCGGATCGCAGCGTTGTCGGGGCTCTCCTGCTGCACCTGCGCGTCCAGCGCGTGAATTGCACTGAGCGACTCGGAGACGCTGTGGTCGATCTGCTCGAGCGTGCGGGCGCTTGTGGCCGTGGTGTCGGCCATTGGGCCGTGTGCCAGGAGGATCTCGGCCAGGCGATCTCGTGGTTCGGCTGACATCGTGTTTGGGTTCTTGCCTCCAGACTGCTCGGGATAGGTAAGGTGATAATTGGACAATCCCCCCCCCCCCCCCCCGAGGTCAGCCGAATTTAAGATTTGAAGGCGGGGCGGCCGTGAGCTGTAAAATCGTGAAAAATGTTTGCAATTACAGCTAAAATCTTGCGAAAATGCGCTCCAGAGCTCTAAAATAAAATAGAATGTACGTAAGAGCCACATACATACATTGAAAATCTTGGTCTAAGGTGCCCTGCAACCTTTCACTCCGCGCTACAGGAGCGAATGGGTGCGATCGACGCTTTGGAAGAGGAAGGAAGGAGCAGCTGTCGCGCTCGGCGCTTCGCCTCGCACAGCGCTCCAGACTCCGAGGAGTCAACGGCCGCTGCACAGACGGCAGCAACGCGCGGGTGGGCGACGTTGACCCACTCATGTGCGTCGTGTGCATGAATGAGCGAGCAAATCACGCAGAGGCAAGTCATGGTCCGGTCGGTCGGTGCGGGCACCACAGTTCCACTGTGCGTGTGCGAGGCTTGCTCTGAGGGAGGGTGTAGAGGATGTAGAGTGTAGAGCGCTGTAGAGCGCTGTAGAGCTGTGGAGCGCTGTAGAGCTCTACATCCGGCGCGGGACGATGTGAGTCCGATGTAGAGCGATGTAGAGCGCGATTTTGCTGTAGAGTTGGTTGTAGAGGCTCTACACACTACAGCCAAAGCGCCGGGAAGGCAGTGACTCAAAGAGGTCGAGCCGCGCTAATGGGGTGTCTCCGAGCTTACTGCTCTGGAGCTCTGGAGTCTGGTGGACGGCCCTGACTATCCCTGACACACAGAGAGTCACTCCGACGGCACACAACACCCTATAACTGCGTCATGACCAGCCTGCCATGCGTCGCCGGTGCCGCATTCGTCGCTGTGCTTCTTTAGCAGGCGGTGGGCTGTCGCCTGCGAGGACGGTCGCATTTGCGCGAGCCGAGGCGAGGCGAGCATTCAGGCGCGTTGCATGCGCCATGCCTCGCGCCAGCGCGTGCGGGAGCTCCTGGCTGAGCGTTGAGTCCAGGCGAGTTGCGCTGGCCACTATCGCTACGCCGAGCCGAGCTGACGCGCCGAGGCGCCGGCCAGTCGCAGCCGTGAGGCATGCCACAGCAGCAGAGGCACCTGCCACCCATTGGGCGGGCAGACAGAAGGCCAGGGCAGCACTGGCAAGTGCAACGCGCCTCATGTCGGAGAGCGACCGTGCCTCGTTCGCCGCTTATGACGTAGAGTTTGTTGTAGAGATTTCACGTTGTAGAGCGCCTCTACATCGCTCTACATCGGACTCACATCGTCCCGCGCCGGATGTAGAGCTCTACAGCTCTACAGCGCTCTAGAGCGCTCTAGACTACATCTCTACAGCTCTCTCTACAGCGCTCTACACTCTACATCCTCTCTCTACACCCTCCCTCAGCGCTCAGGGCTTGCTCCGATCGTCTTACATTTGTAGGGAGGAACACATGCTATGTCCGTTGTGCCCACGTTCTGCGTTCACGATAACCATGCGCGTTTACGCGGCAGGGGCGCGTCGCGAGAGAGAGAGAGAGAGAGAGAGAGAGAGAGAGAGAGAGAGAGAGAGAGAGAGAGAGAGAGAGAGAGAGAGAGAGAGAGAGTTTTAGGTGTCTCGTGATGATACACGGAAAGAAAGACTGCACTCTCGCAGACGCCGGAGCTCTGCACACGCTGCAGATGCCGTTCGTGTTTCGAACAGGTGACACACCTTGTTGTTTTTCCCGGTTTCCAAAAACCACGCGCACGCCCGACTCTGGGCGAGTAGAGGGCCCGCCCACCCCAAAAAAAATATTCTTAGCTTCAAGCCCCCCTCCGAGACTAGGGACAGAACCACACCAGTATAGACCAGAGGGACTGCGCCTCGCCCCCACTTGCCCTGACTACACAGGATAGCATGCCCCGATAACGGCGACACATAGTGGGGGACACTGCGCAAGGAGGGGGTGCGAAGGCTCATTGGGGTACTAGGTGGGACCATGAGGGGGGGTGGGCGGGGTCCTGTGGGGGTGAAATGTTGCGCGGCGAATTCGAACCTACCCCCTCGCCGCGCCGATCCTCACGCGGAGGGTAAAACCCTGTGGGACAAAACCCCCCCGCGGTCGGCAGTCTTCAGAGTGGACCCCCCCCTCCCCAGCCTCCCCTGTGCATCTCGCACCCCCCCCCGCTCCCCATCGGTGACTCGCGAAGGACACGGACACTCGGGGTGAGGGGGGGTCCCCCAGAGAGGGGGCTTTGGGGCATTGTTGGGTTGATCGCTCGTGCCGATCTCGGGTCGATCTCGGGTCGATCTCGGGTCGATCTCGGGTCGATCTCGGGTCGATCTCGGGTCGATCTCGGGTCTCGGGTCAGTCTTGGGTCGGTCTCGGAGTGGCCTAGAAGAAAATATAATGAGGTGAGATGAGGTGAGACGAGGCGAGGTGAGGCGAGATGAGGCGAGATGAGGCGAGATGAGGCGAGATTAGGGGAGATTAGGCGAGATGAAGCGGGATGGAGCGAGAGTCGAGAGTGGCCTAGAAAAAGAAAAAATGGGGCGAGATTAGGGGAGATTAGGCGAGATGAAGCGGGATGGAGCGAGAGTCGAGAGTGGCTGAGAAAAAGAAAAAATGGGGCGAGATGAGGCGAGATGAGGCGAGAGATGAGGCGAGATGAGGCGAGATGAGGCGAGGTGAGGCGAGATGAGGCGAGGTGAGGCGAGGTGAGGCGAGGTGTGAGGCGAGATGAGGCGAGGTGAGGCGAGATGAGACGAGGTGAGGCGAGATGAGGCGAGGTGAGGCGAGATGAAGCGAGGTGAGGCGAGATGAAGCGAGGTGAGGCGAGATGAGGCGAGATGAGGCGAGACTAGGAGGCGAGATGAAGCGGGATGTTGTGTGGCTGCTTGTGCTGCCAAGCAGGCAGCACAAGCAGCCATACAAGTGAGCTTTTGGGTTGTGTGGCTGCCTGTGTAGCCTGCTCTGTTGGGTGGAGTTTCTTGTTTTTTTTTGCCGTACTAGTCGGCTCGTGGGTTGGGTTTTTACACGCCGTCCTGTTATATTCGCCCATTA